ACTTAGGGGTAGAGAAAATGAGGAGCACTGCCCTTTATGGGATGTAATAACTGAAGACAGTGGGTTTCTTCTTGGAGCATACTTCCCTACTCATTGCAGGCCCTTTATGCTTTCACTGTTACATGGCTGTGAAATCCGTCTTCTTCAAGCACACAGTCCCTCTGGTTTCATAACCATCTAATTTCATTGACCCAGTATTGCCATTCCCTTTTCATTTACATTTATTTTTTGTCTTTCCCCCCTCGTCGTTCAAAAGCATTACTACATATTAAAAATTTTAAGTTAGGGCTGGAGAGATGGCTCAGAGGTTAAGAGCACTGACTCTTCTTCCAGATGTCGTGAGTTCAATTCCCGGCAACTACATGGTGTCTCACAACTACCTTGAATGAGATCTGGTGCCCTCTGCTGGCATGCAGGCAGAAGACTGTATACAAAATAAATAAATAAAATCTTAAAAAAAAAATTAAATTGGGGCTGGAGAGATGGCTCAGAGGTTAAGAGCACTGGCTGCTCTTCCAGAGGTCATGAATTCAATTCCAGCAACCACATGGTGGCTTACAACCATCCATAATGAGATCTGGTTCCCTCTTCTGGTGTGCAGATATACATGGAAGCAGAATGTTGTATACATAATAAATAAATAAAATCTTAAAAAAAATTTAAATTATATCCATTTATTTGTTGGGGGGAGGGTTTGGATCATGTGTTGTGCATATATGAAGGTCAGAAGACAACCTGAAGGAATCTAGTCTCTCTTTCTAAAACATGGGCTCCTGGGCTCAAAATTTCCCTGATTCCAGCAATTTGCAATATATGGCAAAGTACCAGCATGAATGTCATTTGTCCCTTTAGCAGAACAAGAAACTTATGAATAGAAAACTACAAATCACAAAATCCAACAGATCTTGCTTGTTTGGTTTTCAAGACAGGGTTTCTCTGTGTAGCTCTTACTGTCCTGGAACTCACTTTGTAGACCAGGCTGGTTTTGAACTCAAGAGATTGCCTGCCTCTGCTGAGTGCTGGGATTAAAGGCAAGGGCCACCACCAGACTTTTTCTTTTGTTTGTTTGTTGAGACACCAGGTTGTTGTGGGTTTTTTTTTTGTTTTTTTTTGACTGTTGTTTTTCAGTGCTGGGGATTCCGGGCTTCCTAAATGCTAAGAAGTGCTCCACTGAACCACTGAGCTACCTCCCTAACCCAAAAATGTAACATACCTAACTATTAGGAGATTACTCTTGGATATGGTTTAAGTTTCCTTTTTCCTGCTCAGGATTACAAGTAGGAAGGGATATCCAAATAAAAAAATGTGAGAACTGCCCATTACCTGACTTGTGGCTCTATGACCATAAATGGAAAGAGTTGTTTTTTTCTTTTTCTTTTTTTGAAACATTAACCATAGTTTATTCCAGGTGAGGGAGGGGGAGAGGGGGAAGAAGGCAAGACAGAAAGAAGTGAGTAAGAGAGACAGGAGAAGAGAGGAGACAGCAAAAGGAGCGGAAAAAGGTTTTTACTTAGCTTTCCTATAGTGGAGTGGAATGGAGAATGTGTCCTACTAAATATAAATGATATAAATGTACATCCCAAAAATAGATTTTCATTTGTTCAGAATTTTAAAATCTAGGTTCAAAATTGATGTCTCAGATAACAAAACACTGTTTTCTGAATTGTGACCATTTAATTATTCCTAGCCAAGTGTACATTAGATCTCAATTTATTGAAAACTGCCTTTTAGGGTTTATTGAAAATTAAATGGTCAGTAGTTCATACATTACATCCTCACTTCCCCGTTTTCATGTATTTGGATAAATATAATTCTGTATAGATGTAACAGAAACATAAAAGTATGATACTCACATTTGGCATACAGACAGTCCATCATTGACTGCACTAAGTCCAGTTTGGCTTTAATGGAAAAGTTGATGAAGTTGGTATCAACAAGGATGTGGTAAGGTGGACCCAGTTGTGTATTGTACTGGAAGAACAAGCAGGAAGGATGTTGGGGGCTGGAAGGAGACAGAAAATAAGATCACAAACTAAAGTCTATATTGATAATTTTGATGTTAATGAAACCAAAAATTAAGTGTCTGGTTTTCAAAGTTCATTATAGGCAACTGTCCTTTCCCCTTGTTCATTGCAAGTAAGAGTTTAAAAGAAGTCAGGAAAGGTACTGAAGAAAAGGTTCAGCAGTTAAAAGCACGTGTTACTGCTCTTGTAGAGGGCCCAAATTCAGTAGTACATTGGGTGTTCATAACAACTGAATTCCAGCTTCAGGAGACCCTCTGCTCCTAGCCTCCACAGACACCCAAACTCATGTGCACATGCCCACACACAGACACACATGCCCATACACACAGACGCATGCCCACACAGACACACACATGCCCACACACACAAACACATGCCCATACACAGACACACACATGCCCACACACACAGACACACACATGCCCCCACACACATACACATGCCCATACACAGACACACACATGTCCACACACACATACACATGCCCACACACAGACACACACATATACCCAATTAAAAAAAAGAGAAAGAAAGAAGGAAAGAAGGAAAGAAGGAAAGAAAGAAAGAAAGAAAGAAAGAAAGAAAGAAAGAAAGAAATCTTTAAAAAAAAACAAAGTTAGGCTGGGTATTGGTGGCTCACACCTTTAATCCCAGCACTCGGGAGGCAGAGGCAGGCGGATCTCTGTGAGTTCAAGGCCAGCCTGTTCTACAGAGCTAGTTTTAGGACAGGCTCCAAAACTATACACAGAGAAACCCCGTCTTGAAAAACAAAACAAACAAAAAAAACCAGCAACCAACCAACCACTTTCATTTGTGCACATCCCAAAACTACTGGTAAATAACTAACTTACCAGTAAATCAACCAGCTCAAGGAAAGCCTGGATTCTTAACAGGGCCAGGGTTTAGGATCTCTTAGTTTTAATGGAGAACTTCAAGTTTTTTAATACTCACACTTCTCTTTCCTTCAGCGCACTGGGATCTTTCTTTTCTTTCTTTTTAGGCTTTAATCTATCCTTTTCTTTACTGCAAAAAAGTAAATTCAGAGAAGAGGAAAAAAATGATATAGTTAAAATTTCATCTAGCGGGGTTGGGGATTTAGTTCAGTGGTAGAGGGTTTGCCTAGCAAGCGCAAGGCCCTGGGTTCCGTCCTCAGCTCTAGGGGGGTGTTCATCTTGCTGGGGATGTCACTCACTCAGTGGCAGAGCATTGGACTAGTATGTATGAAGCTTTAGGTTCAATCCCTATCAACTCAAGTTCCATTCTAATTTGTTTGTTTGTTTTTCGAGATAGGGTTTCTCTGTGTAGCTTTGGAGCCTATCCTGGGACTTGCTCTGGAGACCAGGCTGGTCTCAAACTCACAGAGATCTGCCTGCCTCTGCCTCCCGAGTGCTGGGATTAAAGGCGTGGGCCACCAATGCCTGGCGTAATGTCTTTTTTTTTATTTATTTATGGTGCTTTTTTTTCCTACTTATTTATGGTTTTTGATTCAGGGTTTCTCTGTGTAACAGCCTTGACTGTTCTGAAATTCCCTCTGTAGCCCAGGCTAGCCTTGAACTCAAAGATCTGCTTGCCTCTGCAGGAAGTAGCCTGAAAATATCAAAATTAATCAATAAGGCCAATAAACTCAAAAAAATAGTTAATGAGTAAATTCTAATTAAACTATTAACTTTTTTCTTAGTATTTCTCTTATCTAATTTCAAGAGAGTAGTGAGGGTTTATTATGATCAAAAGACATTATATACTGGCTTGAAAATGTTATAATGAAACTTAATATGTATAATAAATATGTTAATAAAAAATCTTCTTTTAAGAGGTCACGAAGAGGTTGATATTTATCTTCTGAATACTTCTGAATATCCCAAACTGGACATGGTAGTTTTCCCACATCCTTATATTTTTGGTTGTTGAGCCTTGTCTTTAAAGGCTGAGCTATCCCTCCATTGAGCCCCACCTCCATCCTTTATAAAGGCCTAAGACATAACAAACATATAAAATTGAACCCTGAGCCACAAAGAAATTGTCACTGGGACATCATTCCTTACAGATAAACAATAAAAATCCACACCAGAAGCTGAGAATAATAATTCTGAAGGCTTTAACGACCATTCTTTTGTTCCAACACAACAAAAGCAGTTAAGAAACAGTTCACCCAGTCTTTACTGACGCCAGGAAACTGGTTAGTTCTTCTTTATAATGATAAGTATCATTCCAGTTTCTTCTTCTAATGCTTTGAATTCTTATAATTTATAAAATGGAACTATCTTGGAGTTTTCCCATCCTCCCTTTTAAACTTGGGTGTCAGGAATCGGAAACTGAAGGCAAGCTTGGTGTGGCCTTACCAGCTTTTCAACAATAAAACCACCCTCCCCACCCTCCAGAACGAGTGACTATAATTTGTCATGCACTGTAGATCTAAGACATAATCAGCAAAACAACAATAACAAATTTTACTACTTAGCCCATCGTGATTCCTGTATCTCTGATCACTTTAGGAAACGAGTTGATTCTGGTCACTCACAGTCTCTCATCTCTGAGACTAAGCATTCGCTTCATCGTCGCATATTTCCTTGTTTTCTTTTGCTTTCCCTTGAAACGGAAATTTTCGAGTTAAAAGAGCTGAAAACACAGCGCATCCTTTAAAGTTTAAAGTTCCCTTCTCCTAGTTTTCTTGCCGCTTCTCCTTTCCGCAAACACCACCCTTCTCCCTCCACTCCTTAAAACATAGGCTTCTTCAAACTAAGACCCGCATGAAAAAAAAAAACAAAACAAAACACAAGGGAAGCTCGGAGGCTATATTTGGCCGACAGCTGAGCTCCCATACGTCCGCAAAGCGCTCTGACAGAAGCTCTCCTCACCATGTTCACGCCGCACTCCTGCTTCTTCCGGAATCACTCTCAGCGCGGCACTTTTACGTCATCCGATACTGCTTCCGGCAGAGGCCAACCCGGAGGCGGAAGTCACTTTGGGAAACGGAAAACCTTGCAGCCGGCTCTGAAGCGCCGGTTGAGATCCAGGCTGGGGACTCTTGGGGGCCGGGTGGAGGGCAGGATTTGTGCTGGATGCGGCCCCTGCCTCCCCGGACCCCAAAGCTAGGACTTGACCACGCTGCAGCCCCAGTTCGGGTAACGTTTCCCTTCACGCCCAACCGGAGAAAGCGTCTAGCCGAGCCGCAGGCACCAGAGTTCCAGGAGGAGAGCCAGAGAGGGGACCAGGATAGCGGGGTCGGAACCCTGGGCTGCCCTGTAGTTTGCAAATACATTCTGTTTGTCTTCAGGCGCACCCGGGCTCTGTAGTCCAGCCCGGAGGCTCTGGACGATTCTTGGGAAGAGAGGGATGTAACAGCGCTTGAGGACCACCCCTTCCCCATGGTGTGTGTGTGTGTGTGTGTGTGTGTGTGTGTGTGTGTGTGTGTGTACAAGCACTAGCGTGCGTCGGGTGGCATTCAGAGCACAAGCCAGAAGAAGCTGGTTGCTCTCCACTTTTTTTTCCTTTTTTTAAAGACTGTCTCACCGAACCTGGAACACCCCCTCCCAGCTCCCTGCGTTTTTGCTAGGTTGATTGGCCCAGAAAGCCCCAGGATACTCCCAGCACTGGGGTGACAGACACTCGCCACTACTACACCTGGCTTGTTTTTGGATGCCCAGATTCGGGCATCCAAAACTCAGGTCTTGCTTGGTCTACCATCACTTATTCACTGAGCCAATTAGCCCAGTCGCAGCGGCCTTCTGTAGATGATCAGGGAAAACAGGTGCAGAAGCGGGTATGTGCAATGCCTCGAATGTGGTGGGAACCATTGATATTTGTTATGAAGCCTGGTGTGCCGTCCTTAACGGGAGAGGGAGGATTTGTGAGAATGGGAAAGATAACTTCTGAGGTGTTTGTTTTTGTTTCCTTTCTTTTCCTTCCTTCCTTCCTTCCTTCCTTCCTTCCTTCCTTCCTTTCTTTGCTATGTATTCTAGTTATTCTTAAACATTTGGAGGGATTTCTTTTACCCCTTAAGTCTGTGGAAAGTGAGGGACAGTTTTCCTGAAAGTGGATGTGTGTGCGCGCATACACACACTTTGGCATGCAACTTAAGAGACTTCTAGACTATGTAAACTTTATTTACTTGTCACTTTGACCTTCACAGTACCTCAGATATCTTTGATTTACTGATGTTGAAGCTGTGATCTAGACACTCAGAGGTCTATTTGGTTCTGAAGTTCATGTTTTTCTTAGTGCATGACATTGACCTGGTGTTGCTGGGTTAAAAAGATGTTCACAGTGTAACACTGCAAGATGGTGCATTGCTTATTGAGTTTGACTGGCTGCAGTTTAAACCCTCTTTTAGTTGCTTACTTGCTGTATTACTTTGGGCCATCAGTTGGTGCCTCGGGTCTGTAAAGCTAAGATAATCATCATAGTACCGGTATTACAGGGATGTCAACATGATTAGTATGTCCCTAGAAAGCATACCGTTAAATTAACTCTTTTAGTGGGGCAGGGGTGCAGGCCTTTAATCCCAGCACTACGGAGGCAGAGGCAGGTGGATCTCTGTGAGTTTGAGGCCAGCCTGATCTACAAAGTGAGTTCCAGGACAGCCAGGGCTGTTATACAGAGAAACCCTGTCTTGAAAAACAAAAACAAAACAAGAAAAAGAAAAAGTAACTCAAATTTTGAGTGTTTTTAGTCATTTAATGTCATGTTTTTCCAACTTAATATGTTACGCACTTGCATGTTAATATATTTTTACTATTTTAAAACTTGAGCATATTGGTTAACCTCAAAACACTCACTAAATTTTCAGGTCTCTATAATGGGTAATTTTGAGTTGGTTTGGATATAGAACTGGTTTCCTTCCTTCTGTTCTTTTAGGCACACATTGTGTTTAGATCTCTTTGTAGTTCATGTATCTGTGGGTTACAAAATTTTGGTGTTGAAGTAATTTTATTATTGACACATCTTTAGAGATTCTCTTAACTCCTACTCACCCCCAGGAAGTTCCTAATCTTTTTCAGAACAGTCTGCCTCTGCCTAGCTATCATTCATGGGTAGAGTTAGCAACAGCCTCATTTTTTTTTTTAATTGAAGCATGTTAGTGATTAGGCATTTAGCCTTTTAAGTAAACATGTCAGTTATTTATTTTTAAACCTTTGGAGACTGATTAGAAGTGTGTGCACACGTGTGTGCGCATGCGTACACGCCTGTGTGCTTGATTGAGAGTACTTGAAGGGAAAATTGCAGCTAGTTAAATTGTAATTTGCATTTAAATGCAGGCACAGACAGAAAAACCCTTTCCTCTGAGTTTGAAATTCATGAACTATTTTTTTTTCTTATTTCATTTTAAGGCGGTTTGCAGTTTCTGTTCTGAGGACTTTCTGATCCCTTGATTGTTAATACTTGATAGGGAGCTAAATTAGTGTAGGAACACTGTGGGAGTTGAGGACATAGTTAGAAGTGTTTCTGCTGCATTATACTTTTGTCATGATCTGAGATTCTAAAAGCCTATGATTAAAGTCCTCAGCTATTCTGTAGCCTTCTTTGAGAGGGGTTAAAGTAGCATGGTTCTGTGTTGGATGGGAGCAGAAGTAATTACTCTTGACTACACACTTGTGAGGAAAGGAATTGTTTCAGCCCTCCTCAGTGGTTCAGAGGGCTGCTCTGTATTTTCTGCATCACTAAAGAGAAAGACTCTCTGAAGCCATTGGGTCCACAGTTTGATACTTAACTGGGCTTAGATTTCATTCTCCTCACTCACTGATCTAAATACATTTTTAATAAAATTATGTCTAGTGGAAGAGCTCCCAGAGAACATCTTGTGGTTCACGTTCATTTAAAGATAAGATTTCTAGTTTCAAACTACAGTTTTACACTTATCTTTATGGTTCATATGTTGTTTCCCCAACAAACATTTGCTGCTGTCAAATACTTTTTAATTTAACTTGACTGCCTTTAACCAAGGTAGCAAGGCTGGAGAGATGACTCAGAGGTTAAGAGCACTAGCCACGCTGTTCCAGTGACCCGAATCTGATTCCCAATGCCCACATCTGACAGCTCACAACCACCTATAACTTTAGCTCCAGGGGATTTGATACCTTCTTCTGGCCTTCATGAGCTCTCGAGTGCATTTGCAAATACACACACACAAACACAAACACACACACAACACATACACATTAAATAAAATTTAAAATAACCCAGCATGTTTTCCTCGGTTTTGATATTGGGTTGGTTTATATGACACTTCAGAGGTACACACTACTACATATTTATTCACATTACATTCATTGAGAGTGTGTTCTGTCTCAGACTATAACCTAGACAATATTCTAGTTACTTCAAGAAACTCAAACTCTGTTGAAGAATGGCTTGTAAATAGTTAAATAGTATGGGATATGGTCAACTAGAGGTATGTAAATTCAAATATTTTGGAGAAACTACTGTACCTGTTCATCCTTCTGGAAGGGTCCTGGTTAGAGTATTGTTTGTAGTGTTTATTTATTGCAATCAACTTAGTCTATAACAGTTTGGGTTTTATAACATTAGTGAGTTATAGTATATTATTTCTCCCTCCCTCCTCCCCTCCCTCCCTTCTTTTTTTCTGACAAGGTCTGGTGTATCACTAGCTGGCCTTGAATTTGCTAGGCAGCTGAGGATAGCCTAGAACTTCGTTTGTTTGTTTTGAGACAGGGTCTCTCTACATAGCCCTGGATGGCCTGGAACTCCCAGAGATCTGCTTGCCCTGCCTCCAGAGTGCTGGGATTAAAGATATGCTCAACCATGCCCAAATACCTAGAATTTCTTGATCCTCTTCTTTCATCCTCCTGAGTGCTAGGATTACAGGTATGCACCACCACACCCAGTTCATGCATTGCTGAGGGTCAGACCTCTTGCTGGGCAAGCAACCCTACCAGCTGAGCTACAACCAGAGCCCTCATTTTACCTTTTAAATAGCTCTAACCATTGATTATCTTAGGTTTAAATTTAAGCTATTATTCTTTGGTGCCATTTTCTTTGAAAGGTTATTAGATGGTTAGCCTGCATTATTTTTTTCATAATAATGTTTCCAAACTTTTGAGGTGGTTTTACATACTGTACTGCATGAGTGTGTGTGTGTATGTGTTCATCTATGTGTATGCTTACAACTAATGCATTTGTTTTAGTGCAGTTTGCCTGTTATTGTTGAAATGTTGATATTAATTGTATTTTGGGTTCATTGTACTTTCTGGCCAGAGATCAGATAATTATAATTTAATAATAAGCAACATTATTTCGTGTAATGTGGTAATAGTATTAACTAGTTCTTAATAGTTAATACAGGTCCCTCAGTTTTCACCAGAGATCTAGCCCATGTTATTTTAACCCTCATCCACTTTGGCAAGTTCAAATGCAAGGATAGCCTCTGGCGTAAATGGTAAAGCTATTTGAAAGAGAAAGCAACTGAGACTTCCCAAGTGTGAAGCAGTTTTTCACATTTTGGTAAAGAAGGCAATGCTGAAGGGCAAATAGGATGTAGAAAGGAATAGAAAAATATGTACTAGAGTGTTTCCACCTACACTGCTTTGTTAGGGCAGTGATTTAAGGAAGTAGTATCAGACTTGTAAGGCACAGTGAGGATATAAAATTAGCCAACTCTGTCTAAGTTAAAAAATAGTGGAGCAATCAATCATTTTAAGTTCATAGACAAGTTTATAAGAAATACAGAGTGTTCATATCCACTTCTCATCCAGCTTTTTCTAATGTTAACTTCTTACATAACCATGGTACATCTGTCGCATGTAGGAATTTAAATTAACATTGGTAGAACATTATCTGCTAAATGACAGACTTTTGTATATCACAGAAACTTCAACTTACCTTCTTTTTCTATGCAGAATCCAATCCAGAATTCCAGATTGCAGTTAAACTGTGTAATTTAAAAAAACTAAACAGGGTCTCATTATGTAGCCCTTGTTGGCCTGGAACTTGCTAGCTATAGCTTCACAATCATTAGGAATTTTGTTTTGAGTGTGTGAGTACTGAGCTGTTTTTTTTTTTTTTTTTTTTTTTTTCCTTCATATTAAGTTGGGCATGATGGCAAATGGCTGTCATCTCTGGGGAGGAGAGGGAGCTTTAGGTCATCCTTAGCTTTGTAATGAGCTTGAGGCTAACCTGGACTACATGAAACCCTGCTGCCTCAAATAAAATAAAACCAACTAACCAAGCAATCAGTAAAAAGATTGTTCTTCCTTTCAGTTATATAATATTTTTTTTTCCTTAAAAATAAGACTGGAGGAGTCTGGAGAGATGGCTCAGTGGTTGAGAGCAATTGTTCTTGCAGAGGATCCAGGTTCTGTTCCCAGCGCCCACATGACAGCTCACAACTGCAGTTCCAGAAGACCTGATTCTG